GGCGGCCCCCGCCGCTCCCCGCACACCCCACCCACAAATGCAGTAGATGAAGGGAGTGGGGAAGGAATCGGCCCAAAGGCTCTGAAGCCCTCTCCCCAGCCAAACGCAGTAAACCCTGAGTTCTCCGAGGCTGGGGGCTGAGGCCAGCCCAGGACGGTGCTCCGGGTGGCTCTTGACTGCTGGGAAACCGGCCCTGTTTTTGTTTGAACGTTTTGTAACGATTAAGCAGATCCCGGCGTCAGCCAGCCGAGGAGAGGCTCAAACAGGCATAAAGTGCGACCCCAAGTGGCCACTGTGCGCAAAGGCGCGCCGAATCGCGGGGCCCGCAACTGGAAGTCTCCGCCGACGACTCGGACCCAGCTGGGTCTTCCCAACCCGCCCAACCCAAGCCGGCCCGGAACGCAGGCTGTGTGTGCACCGGAGCCAAAGACAGATTCCCCTAGAGCCACGTACAGGTTCTCGGGTCGGTCCTCGGACTCAGCCGCGAGTTCCACGCTGATCTCCCCCCATGAAACTCCGCGCCCCGTCTCCGGGGATCGGGGGGGCGGAGGGGCTGGGAGGGGTGCTCGGCGGCGGCTCCCTGCTCGAGAAGATCCTAGGCCGAGTTAGGCGGATGGCCGAAAGCGGAAACGCCACAGCGAGGGGCCCCAGGGCTGTCAGATGAGAAACCTCCCCCGAGCGCAGACGGGGACCCCTGAGCGCACAGCACTACGGCATCCAGACAGCGCTTGGGCGCTGCGCACTTTCCATATCGGGTACAGGATGGCCCGAAATAAGAGCTCCCTAGACCCCGGCCCAGGCGCAGAAACCGGATAAATCGCAAATTCGCTGCACCCGGAGACCCGACCCGCCTCCCGCGTCGCCTTCTGCTCTTTGGCGAGAGCAGCGAAAGGCAGGAGAAGCGCGCACTGGGCGAGTGTGTCCAGCCGCTGCCTGTACGGGACCAGCACGACTGACGCAGCGCGCAGGGGTCAGGTGGGCCCACTAATGCGGACGCAGCCAGACTTTTTTTCAAGTGTTAGAAGGTAAAATATCTTCCTACAATTAATTTTGAAAATTGCATTCTCTTGCGCCCTCGGTAAGGCTCGAGTGAGGTATGATATTGGGCCGCCTACTTTTAATAAAATGAATATATCTGAACTAAAATTTGGACTGAAAGGTTTGGATCAGCAACTGTAGTGCTGGAAGAGCCCGTCTTCAACCCTCTGTGAGGAGCGTGCTCTCCGCAGAAAGGATCAGGCTGTCTGCAGGGAGAGCTTCCCGGGCGGGCCATGCCGCCTCCCCGCCCCTGCTCGGAGCTGGGCGCTGCGGACCAGCACCCTGCCTGTCCCTGCCGCGTTCTCACGCAGCCAGAGCGTACTCGGATCGCGGCTCAGCAGGGGAACGTTCCGAGGCTACGCTGGGTCGGCCGTCTCGGTTCTATGCACACTATGGCTGAGGCTACAGGCGGCCAGGTCCGGACAAACGCACTGGCCTCTCCCGGTGACGCTGAACCCCAGCCGCCAGCGCCCTCCTTCCCGTGGACACTGTGGCCTTCTGCGAGTGCAGGGAGGCGGCCGGGCCGGTCTGTGCCCTCGTTGTGTCCCCTCTGGTCTGTCTGACCCTTGATGTCGAGGACCAAACCTGAGTCTCTGGAGTGTGGCCCATCGAGGCCCTAGGGTTCCTTCAGCCCCAGCTCTGAGGGTTCTAGCCTCCTGCTCCCCTGCAGGCATCCTGCCGCGGTCTCAGAGTCTCTAGCACTCGGGCTTTGTCTGAGCGGCCGCGTTCCTCTTTGTCCCTGTGCCTCTGTCTCGGGTTTCGGATACTCCCTTCCCCTGGGCTCTGACTGAGGCTCTGACTGTCCATCCTTAGGTCCACCTTCCCCAATAACCCGTTTCTTTGCCGCCCTCCCAGCCTAGCCAGTCCCTCTTCTACCCACCTTACCCCCAACCACCTCCAACAAAAACTGTTGGAAACTGGGTAAAAGTGAAGCAGACGCTCAGGTTGCTCCAGAGTGAAAGCCGCTGCAGAGCAACCGACCTCACGGTGGGGCCCGGCCTCGCCTTCCTGGCTGCTGCTGCGCTCCGCCGCGCGGTCGCGGCGTCCCAAACCCCTTGGCATCCCTCTCCCGCCTGCGGACGCCGGCGCCTCCTCTCCGAGCCTGGGCGCTGTAAAGGTCAGCGTGCCGGGCTCCCGGTCGACGCGTACTCGGAGGCTACACCCCCTAAAGACCAGTGGGGTAATGGGTGGGGGGAAGAAAGAGAAGGGCTGGTGGGAGAAGTGGAGAGTCGAGGAAGAGAAGTGGAAAGGAAGGAGGCCAGGAGACACAGGAGTAGTGCCCCAAGCCTCTTCTGAAGGGAAGCTAAGGAGGACTGGTGGCGGCCAGAGACCTCTTCTGAACAGTTTGTTGTCTCTAACCCCCCAAACTCTAATTTGAAATTTTCACCCCTTCTCCCTACTCACCCCAGGTTGAGCCAGAGGCGATGCGTCTGAGCGCACCACCTTGGGATTCTTCATCTACCGATGGTAATCAAGGAGATGTCCGAGCCACAGCGGAGCCTCGGGGCACCCCGTGTGGAAGTGGGTGAAAAAGTTACTCCCTAAGGGAACGAAGGGTCCACTGCCATTCTCCGGCTTCGAGGTTCGCCGCGCCGCTCCCGGCCGCCCCTGCCCAGCCCGCCCGCTAACCCGAGAACGGCGCGCTCTCCCGTGCGCCTCCGGTCTAGCGCGGCGCTCCCAGCAGCCGCGTTCAGCCCCGAGGTGCACCGTACACCCGTCGTTTCCAGAGGGCTGCAGGTGTTTGGTGTGCGAGTGGGCGTCTCTGTGCGTGCATGGGTGCAGTGGGAGGCAGTGCGGGAGGTGTGTGGGGCGGTATGGGTGGCGGGTGTTAGGGAAGCACGGCACGCGGAACGCTTCGAATCGCAGAGCCAGCAACTCCCGGCCCCTGCGCCAAAGTGCGTTGCAGGATCGTACTATCCCGGGTCGCCAAACGGAAGCCGGTGGTCCCAAGGGCCCCAGGGTGAGTTCTGCCGGGGAGGAACCTGAGATAGGGGACCCCCAAGAGCCTGCTTTCTGCGTTTGCATCACTCAGATGTCAGATCGCCTGTCTCCTCCAAAGAGCCCTGAAATCGCTATCTTTCCCGAGGCCCTTGGGAGGAGGGGATTCTTTCGCTCCCGTTGCCTCTGAGCTTCCCATGGGCTTCGGCTTCCAAGAAGAGGAAGATAGTTCTCCCTTCCTCTTCCTCTTTCCCAAAGGCAACTGGCACTTGCAATGTTCCCTGCTTCACACAGTGGCCATCAGATTCTAACCCAATGCTTCTTAACAGGTATTATTGGGCTTCTGGATCCTGGTGGCCTTAAGCACCCAAAGGATACAGCAGGTCCCAGTAGGGAGCCAGAGTTACCCCAACTCTGCAGAGCCTTTTCCCAGCTCCCTCCCTTGAAGACCAGGGACACCCAATGCCCCCGCCCCCGCCACCACACACACACACACACACACACACACACACACACACACACACACACACTCTGGGAATGGGAATTAATATTAAAGCTATTTTACCCGCTTCTTTTTACTTTGTTTTAGTGTGAATTCTAGAAATTTTTGAATTACATATGTGGCTTATATTCTATTCCTATTGGACAGTGCTGTGTTAGACAACCACTGGGCAGTATAGCTTCCAATACAGATGGGATATTTAATAATAATTTCCAGTCCCAACTGTACGGAGATTTTCAAAGCCTTTATCATTCACTTTTTCTTTCAATTCTCACAACTCTATAAGGTAGTGACTATCACTATCTTTATTTTACAGAGATATGTAGGCAGGGAGGTAAATACAGATGTATTGCAGTGTCCTAAGAGTTTTATCAACTCATTCAGTCCCACAGCTGCCCTTGGAGGTGGGGAGGATTATCCCCATCTTACACAAAGAAAGAAGCTCTGAGAGGTTAAGTAATTTCTTTAGTGACACAGTGGCGACAAGCTGG